TGTCTTATTTTCGGGGAAACAGGGTAGAAAGATATTGTAGAGGATACTCTACCTTAGCTTTGTGAGGTATTAGAAATCATTTGGGAGTAGATAGCTCTTTAATTTAGCAAAAAAAGACATCATGAGATCCATTGGTTGGAAAGCTAGACAGATTCGGACTAGATATTAAGGGAAAATTTTTAACAGTGAGGGTAATTAATATTTGAAACAACTAAGCTAGGGCTGTGGTGGATTCTCCATCATTTGAAGTCTTTACATTGTGACTGGATCTTTTCTAAAAGATGTGCGGTAGCTCAGATCAGAAGTTATGGAGGTCAGACCAGATGATTGCCATGGTCCCTACTGGCTGTAGAATATGAATTTCTCCAACCCAGGTCAGGATGTGTTGCTTCATTTGTTGTTAGCTGCAGAGTTACAATTGCTGGAGATTTGGGGGGTATGCGGGAAGGAATATTTCCTCACTTGACAGATGGTGTGTGAAAATCTGTGAAGTTTGATCCATGGGAAAAATGACTGGCCTTCTGAACTGTTGGTAAGACAGATATTTGAACACATGGCTGCCTTTCGTCATTCCTGCTGAAGCTACGAGCTAGTTTAGAAATCAGCAAATCTTACAAACTTCTCTCCTTGGCTTCTTAAGATTCCATGAATGCACTATTTGTTTAGTACCTTGTGTCTGACGCTGATCCCTGTGCCTACCTTTTTTCTTACTTTCTTGGTTTTATGTAATCTTGCTTTATTTGTGACCACAATAAACAGGCCAATAAAAATTAGGAGCATTAGGAAAAGATGCAATACGAAGCCACGCTGTATTACAGGGTATGGTGTTAGACTAGATGGGACCAAGCAGGCCTCTTCACCTCTGATCTCTGGTCAGAGATTGAGTGTACTGTGTGTGGCAAGGAAGAGGGGTTTAAAAGGACCCTCTTGTCTGGTGGGGCCCTTCTCGAGTCTGAAGCTGAAGGGCTCTCTGCTGCCACCTGGAATCAGATCTGTGATCCTCCAGAGCCCATGTGAGTCAACCTTTCTGTGTTTGCTTGCTGTCCCGCAGGCTGAACAAGGCTCTTGCTGTTGGGGGTTGGAGCAGCTGCACATGGTCAGGAGGTGCCTTCCCTCTCAGAGCTGTGCTGGAGTTGGCCTGTTTGGTTACCCTGGAGACAGAGCATTGTGGAACGCTTTCCTCGGACCAGAAATAGTTTGCTGTACCTTGTGACTGGAGTGCTCTCCTCCTTCCCTGGTCTGGGGCCAGCCCTTGTGTGTGCTGGGAGATAGGGGTGTCAGGCCATGGCCCCATGTCACAAGCTCTGGTGCGGGTGAGGTCACAGTCACCAGCCTGGTCCCCTGCTCCTGCCCCCTGCAGTGACAGTGTAAGGTTTCAGGGGAGTAATTGCACTTGATTTATGTCCCCTCTGGTGTTTCAGTGGTTATGTCATATCTGTTGAGGCTGTGATGCTGTAAGCTGGCTGTCAGGGCCCAGCAGCTGAGTAGCACGTGGTGCGCTCCTACCTCTCTCCCTTCTCCTTTGCTCAGCTGTTTGGCCTTTGGCTTCCCTGTGTCCTTACACTTCGCAACAGGTTCTCTACAGGCATCGCTTGTTCACGAGGGCAGCATGATCCGTGTGGGCAGCAGGGCCCCCTGATCTGTAGGTGCTGCCATGTGGAGTTGGGAGGCCCTGGGTGGGAGGGGAGAGAGTTTATCTTAATCTCTGGCCGCTGAGATGAGGCTGATAGGAAAGGGTGCCTGGTGCTCTGCTCACTTACGGTTTGAATGGCATTAGGCACCCAGCAGGCACAATGGAGTGTGGCCTTCTCTGGAGAGAGTCTGCAGCTCTGGAATGCTCTGCCTTTGGTGTGTCACAGCCTCTCCATCTCATGCCCGGGGGAGGCAGCAATCTGTCTCAGATCCCTTTGCTGCTTGTGGCCATGGTTTTAGGCTAGTACAGTCTCTGGCCATTTGGGCCCTGTTGCCCTCTGGAAATATTCTGCGTTCAGTTCCTTTTTCAGCTGCAGTCAGGCTGTGATACTGTGCACTGGTGCAAGGCATTCTGGGTAGAGTTACACAGAACTTGGGAGTCTCTTTTCAGAGGGCCTTGCATCAATATTTTTATCTCATGTCTTCTCCTGAGGTCCCACCCATTGAAGTGGGGGTATAAGTGTGTCTACACTCCACCCACCCATCACAGTTTCACATAGCTAACCCCAGCCTTCCAAGGGCAGAGTTTTCAGTGCAATCTGGAAGCAGCAGGTTACCTTGCGGCTGCTTTGCACAACTTTTGCTGTGAGGGATACTGCTACAGGCAGAAACCAAGCCACTCTTTTATCAGTACAGGGCTCCTCCAGGCATTCCTGCTTTCTGCTCCTTATTTTGGGGTGATTCTGGAACAGAACAGTGAAAACATAACTGCTAGGACTAGGAAGGAGGGAAGGGTAAGAAAAAGATTTCCCCTCCCTCCCCGTAGTTCCCAACGGCAGCAGATGAGGATGTGAGCATCTCTCAACCCATAAAATCAGGATATTTGCTACACTGGAGCAGTGGGAAAGCTAAGACAAAAATCCTGCAGGTCCTGGGCTGCTGCTCCCAACCCAAGAGGGAGCTATTGTGTGTGGAGCCTTGCCTTGCTCTCCCTGTGTTGCAGCTGTGTTATTACCTGAGGCTTTCAGGGGCAAGAGGCAGGGTGGTGAAGCCTGGGGAGAAGCCTGTCAATTAGAGCATGTTTCATTCCTGCCACTGACCACACCATGTAGTCCAGCCATCCAGGCCGCTGCCGCTCATGCTGCAATGTTATTCCCAGGGGGAAGATTTGCTTGCCAGAGAGTGGGCCAGGGAGGACATACATTTTCAACTCAGCCTGATGGAGATGCAGAAAGGAAGAAGTGTAGGAATGGGAGAGGGGGTCAGTGCCAGTTTCCTCCACCTTCCCCTTGTGTTGGTGGGCGGGGAAGAGGGACAATGCTGACTTCTCTGTTTCTGGGGGTCTGCTCCCCTGGGAGAACTGGGGTTTAGCAGCTATTAAAGTTCCTTTCCAAATCTGGCTCTTTCGTGCCCTCTCTGTGAAGCCTTTGCTCTCCCCTCACACCCTCAGGTGAGTGTTGCTCCCTCCGGGCAGAGGTGGGCAAGAGGAAGATGAGGCTGGGGAGAGCCAAGACTCAGTCAATTTAATGACACATCTCCTTCCTCTTGGCTCCTCAGTGACTGGAAAAACCCTCTGTTCCCTGGCTAACATGGGCAAAGCACCTACAGCTCCCTTCCCTGCTTCCACATGTGTTAAATTTTAGGGGCGGAAAAGCCTTTTCCCCTCGCCTTGATATTTTCTCTTTTAATCCAGATGACGGCCCTGCTTGGACTGACATTGCCTGTCTGTTGCAATAAATGCGCTTAGCACTTAGCAAGCACTTCTTGAGTGCTTGATCAGCATTCCACCACAGAGCCCATGCACGGGCGCTGAGCGCAACTGGCAGTGCTCCCCCCTCTGCTCCTTCGGCCCACGTGATGGCTGTGCATTCCTGTGACTCAATGTATCTTATTGTCTCTTCTGGAACGTGGCTGAGGTGATTGTTCCTTTTGCACTGAGACCTGGCAAAATTCATTTCACATAAGAGTTCCCAGGTATCTACTCACTCACGCCTCCTTGAAAAGCGGGCCAGTCTCAGAAGCCATTGAACTCAAATTGGTATTTCACATCTGTGGCAGAGACAAGAGACCAAAACGTTCCACCCCTGCACTACTTGCTTTAAAGACAAGTTGGGAAAACCACCCAGCAATGACCGTGGCGGGGGGTGGGGGGGGGATGTCGTCCACAGCCTTCGCTATTTGCAGATGCTTTGCCCCATGCAGCCTCGCCCCGTGACAGTGGTGAGTTCCTGGGAGACTGCTGCATTCCAGCCATTTCTAGTCTCACTCAGCCTTCCACTGACCCATCAATTCACTGTCTCTCTATCCCATCGGATCTAAGCAAGAGTCTAGTTTGCAGTTTGCCAGCTTACACCCTCTTTCTCGCTCTCTCTTTCCAGATCACCAGAAACTGGAACGTGAGGCCCGAATCTGCCGACTTTTAAAACATCCAAATATTGGTAAGTACCCCTGTGAGGGTGTGGCTAGTGCTTGCTAGACTATTCCTGGGAATGGATGGTGAATGCTCACTGCTAACCTGCTCAATTCTGGCCTTATTTGCCAGTGAAGCCTCATCAGTTATTCCTTCCTTCTGCAGTCCCTGCATGCAGAGCCATCCCAGTCCCTGCTGTGATGCTGAAGATAGAACCCTGAACCTCCTGGCTTAAGTGCGCACACATGGTGCTCCATGCTGTGCACAGAACTGTCCCAGATTCGGCTCTGTAGCCTTTTTGTTTAGCATTCTGCACCTGGAGCGGGTGGCTGTATTCACCCCACTTCCGCCTCTTGGTGCTTCCTCTGTACACCCCTGAAAAGGCTGCATTCAGTGAGATCCCCAAGTCTGAAGTACAGTGGGCTGAGCTGTCAGCTCTCTCACCACAGCGGTCACTAGCTCTAGAAACAAAAGAGCTGATGCTTTGTTTCCGTTCTTGAAAGTGTTTTGTCTTCTGCTGAGTGTGGCTCTCGCACGGTTGGTTTCCATGGTTATCCTGCATGCAGGTTTATTTTCTTTCTCCCAGTGAAATGAGGAGACTGAGAGAGAATTGCCCGCTTTGAAGGCTTTAGTGACGGGCTAAAAATAAGCGATGGAGTCACGGGGACAACTTTGACTTGAATTACAAGGAGGGGGAAAAAAATAACTCAACTTCTAACAAAAAACCACGTTATTTACTAAACTGCAGAAACAGGAGCGGGATTGTTTTGCCTTCTAAAGCTCCATGGAAGTTTGCCCGTCAGTCCCGCTCCAGTGAAATTTGCCATTGTTTGCTAGAAACTGCCTTGAGCAAAAACTTTGAACCCTACTCATTGCTTTTATTAATGTATTTTATTGTGATCTAAAGAGGTGTTGGAGCCTACCTCGGAACTAATCTGAGGTGCTTGTGCATCTCTGGGGCAGAATGCGGAGTAACACCTTCGAGCAGATGGCAGACTCTAATATCGCTCCTGTAGAGCCATAGTGCCATGAGCAGTGGTGAGCTGGAGCCAGTTCCCACCGGTTTGCAAGAACCAGTTGTTAAATTTGAAGCCGGTGTAGAACCGGCTGTTAAAGGGCTGGGCGGGTGGGCAAACAACTCCGGTCCGCAGCAGGGCCGCCCAGAGGGGGGGCAAGTGGGGCAATTTGCCCCGGGCCCCGCAGGGGCCCCCACTAGAATGTTGGAGGCTGCCCCCTGCTTCTGCCTTCCCCCATCCCCCGGTGCCTCAGCGTGCCACGTCCAGGAGCAGCCCTGGACGGAGCTAAAGCGGCGTGGCTCCAGCAGGGCCTGAGCTCCTCCTGCTCAGAGCCACGTGGTAAGGGGGCGGGGCTCCGAGTGGCGGGAGCTCAGGTCCCGCTGGAGCCATGCCCCTGCAGCGCTGTCCAGGGCTGCTCCTGGACGTGGCGCGCTGAGGCTCCAAGAGAGGGGGGAAGCGGGGGTAAGGGAGCCGGGGGGGCGGTGGTGGATAAGGGGCAGGGAGGGGGCAGAGGTTCTGGGGGGTGGTGGTCAGGGGATGGTGAACGGTGCGGGGGTTCGGGTAGGCATGAGTTCCAGGGGTCTGTCGGGTTGGTGGTGGCTGGGGTTGGGGGAGTCAGGGGACAGGGAGCGGGGCAAGTTGGGGAGGGGGTGGGGTCCTGTGGGGCAGTAAGGGTGGGGGGGTCTCGGGAGGGGGTGGTCAGGGGACAAGGAGCGGGGGGTTTGATGGGTTGCTTGCAGCCCTTGTGGGTTCTGAGGGGGGCAGGACATGGGTGGGGGTCGGAAGTGGGGGGGGACAGGCTGTTTTGGGAGGCACAGCCTTCCCTACCCAGCCCCTGATACAATTTTGCAACCCCGATGTGCAGGGCCAGCTTTAGGAAGTGCGGGGCCCAATTCAAACAGTTTAGATGGGGCCCCGGCAGGGATTATTTTAAAAAAAAAAATGTAATAAAACACGTGGAGCCTGTACTCACTGGGCGGCGCTCCGAGTCTTCAGTGGCACTTCGGCGGCGGGTCCTTCACTCGCTCTGGGTCTTCGCCGGCACTGAAGGACCTGCCGCTGATGACCCAGAGCGCGGTAGGGAACCGGTTGTTAAGATTTTGGCAGCTCATCACTGGCTGTGAGCCATAGGGAAGGCTTACCTTTGTCACAGCTGCCCTAGGGGACAACATGGGTTTTCTTACACACAAGTATCCACGGTGGTGGTGTTGTACCCCCCCCACATTCACCCCAAATATTTATAAAAAGTGAATTGGAGCCATGGTGCCAGGTTTGACAGCACCAACGACTAACCCCAATAGCCTCAGAACAGGGTCTGCCTGGGAAGCAGCTGCACAAGTCTCCCCCAGGCTGCTGCACCAGGGCGCTTCCATCCTGACCTGGATGGAGCAGCTCTGGCCGTAGTTCAGTCTGCATGACCCAGCCAGTCCGTGGCCTCTTCGCTGAGACTGCTAACAGAGACGACACAATGGCCCTTGCTGGGACATGGAGATTTATGTCTTAATTTAGATTTATACGATCACTAAAAAAGTGCTTGTCCAAAGCTCTGGGTGCCCATGGCATTTTCTGAGAATACAGAAATAAAAGGCAGCAGGTTTCCCAAAAGGCAGGAGGAGGGGGAAAGCCCCCATCACTAGGTGCAGCGTCTTTCCTTCACGGCACATGTCCCCACTCCCTCCCTAAAGGCCAAGGAAAGGAGGTGGCCCTTGCAGCATGTTCTGAAAGCCCACAGGTATAGGCTGTTTCAGACTGAGGGAGGTGGTGAGTGAATTCCATTATTCAGGGCCCCTCATCCAAAATGCACTGCCAGCAGGTTTGACAGAGGCTGCTCCAACTCTGCTGACTGTGGCTCTGGCAGTATGGCATGGGCAATAGGAGAGAGAGGGTGCCTCAAATAGACAGAAAACGGAGGCATCCAAAATGTGATACATGTCACTAGTGACAAGTTTGAACAAGCTTTGTTTAGAGCTGCATCACAGGTAAACCCTGAGCTTCCATACTGTCAGGGCAAACCCATCAGGAAACAAATGGAGCAGAAGCTCAGCAACAAAGAGCCAGGTTAGTGGTACCAAACTCAGCAGGGCCATCTTAGTACAAAAGCAGCCGAGTCAGGGCACCCACTCACACAGTTAATACTTGCAGCATGCATGGGACAGTATGTGCCTGAGCCCAGCCGTGCATGTCTCTAGAATGCCACCAGCCTGAGGAAATATCTTGGGGAGTTCAGGAGGACTTTCACCGGGAGGCTTTAAAACTTGATCCTTGATCCTGTCTTCCCACCCCACCTTTTTTAAGTGATTAGCCTCTGTGAATAAGCTGGTCTGTGGCTCTCTTGCATAGTAATGTAATAAGCTGCAGTGACTCATTTTGGTAGTCACTAATGTCCAAACTTTTGGTGACCTGCAGTATTTTTGCACTGAGAATCATGTTAGGAGAAATGGCCATCAAGGTTGTCTCAATATCTTTCTCCTGGTGTGAATTTTTCTTCCTTTTCCTCTCTCCTTCTTTAAATTAATCTACATCTCTTCTAGGGTGACCAGACAGCAAATGTGAAAAATTGGGACAAGGGTTGGGGGGTAATAAGAGCCCATATAAGAAAAAGACCCAAAAATCGGGACTGTCCCTATAAAATCGGGACATCTGGTCACCCTAATCTCTTCTCTTGTCAGGCTTTCAGGAGATTGTAAGGCTGCACTCAAGGACAGAAACACTCTACAAGCGGAAACTCGCTGCATATGGAAACTGACCAGGATCACAAAAACCTAGTTAGTTTCTCTTTGCAGTTGGATCCATGTGTGAGGGACTTCAGCTGGTATTGGGTGTGTCCCAGTCTTGTAATCAATTACCTGGTATAGTGAGCTTTGCCACGCATGTGGGAAGACGCTTATGGCCAGTGACCAACAGTCTTTCGGCAGAGGATTTCTTGTCCTAGAAAGAACTTTAATTTTTAAAGGCAACTAGCAGTTATAGAATTAATTTGAAGACTCCAAATAACTAGGGACAGGGTACGTTCAGTACACCACCAGCTTTAAATCCATGACATTCGGACCTGCCAGGGCCTAAAGGTTTCTGCTTGTTGCATTGCCCCAATATGCACTATCCTGGTGACATTGCACCACCACCAAACAGTTCTGCAGATTGAAGCCTGCATATAAGGAAGTGGGTTAAGTCATAGTCTTTTTGTTTGGAAACACCCTTCTGACAAGTACTGTGATACTGCCGTGAGCTGAAGCAGGCTATTACAGAGTGAAGGTTTTAAAGTTGGATGTATGTTTGCTGTCCCTCTTCTCCTGGTTATTTGGGGCATGCAACACATCGTTGTTGGCTTTGCAAGTGATCTGTTGGGTCTGAAAAGACCAGCTCTGGTGTGGTAATTCCAGAGTGCAAAACCATGACCACAGCATATGTCAATTGTTTTCCAAAAATGGCTAAAATAAAGGTTATTTTGGGTATAAAACAATTGCAGGGCGTGCAGATGGTGTGTCTATTTCTACTATATTTCTCTTTCTTTGTGCTGTGGCCACCCATCATTTCTCTGGAAATGCCACCACCAAATCTCAGCACTCATTATGGACTACTGCTATGTAATTGGCAATTTTCTTGCTGTGTCCGGGGCTACACACTGGGGCCGAGGTAACCTCAGCAGTATACTGCTTTGAGGGGCTGAGTTTTTGGTCCAGTTATTCTGCAGTCCAGAGACACTGTCAGCCTCTAGAGGGAAGAGACTGATGTTGAGGCAACTTCTAGAAAGTCTTGCTTTCCAAAGGCAAATTGCTCTAATGCAGTGTATCAAGCGCTGTCAACTGGCTGCCATCCAAATGTGTCTGGCTTTTTGTTACCATTTCATACCTAGCTGTTTTCAGTGAGAAAGGAGTGATATCCTCTGGGATTTCCTTCCCCAGCCCTTCAGTTTCCGATGGGTGTGGCCTTGCTGGGGCAGGGAGACTCTTTGAAGTCTATCCACACTGCTTTATGCATCAGAGGGGCTAAATGCTTTGTCTGTAGTATTCTG